TCCTCCATGTGGCCCCATCACTTTCCTTTGCAAATGGATTTGCAGTCAGTTGTTTTCAATGAATTTAGAATGGATAACGTACTAGAAATCTTGGCATCTTGAAGAAGTTCCAAGAGCTATGTCCCTTGCCTTTTGCTTTTCCTCCTAGTCTCTTCCCACCCTTTACTCTCCTGGGAGTGTGGCAAAGTGGAAATGCCTAGGGCTCTGGAGCCAAAAGACCTGAGTTCAAGTGTGGGTTTCAAGTGTGGGTTTCATCTTGTTTCTAAAACAAGTCACTTAAGCTTCTTAGCAGTAAAGTGGTGGCTTAAGCCTATTAGCAGTAAAACAATCCCCAGCTTGCTCCAGGATTGTTTGAACATCATCTGAGCTACTGTATCTGAAAGTACCACCTGAGTGCTATTTGGTGACTTTAAACATTTATAGATACTCATGCTTTTCACTCTCAATTTAATGGGGAGGGAGGGGAAAAGTCACAATACTTTTCTCCCTGGGGGCCTGTAACTCCTAACTCTAATAATTGTTCTAGAATTTTGCTAGTCTTCTGCCCAAAAAGTCAGTGGCAGGGGAAGCTATTGGGCCAATTCATTTTTGGCAACTTCCTAGTATGCCTTAATAAAGGAGGGCCAAACCTTCTTGAGGTTAAAAAATAAAATATATTTTTAAAAACTCTATATAATTCCCCATCCTCACTCCTTACAATTGGCCTGTCTAATAATTCAGATACACTAATATAAGAGAGGCTTTAGTAAGAGAAACTGAATGTGGGAGGACAGATTGTTGATTTTCAAGGTGCCTGAAATCCTATCCTAAAATTAACATTTGAAATAGCTGGAGATATTTGTCAAGAAGAAAAAAAACTTTAAGGAGTTTTGATAGCTGTGTTCAGATGTCTGCAGGGGCGTGGCATAGGGAAGAAGGAGCAGGTTTCAGATGCTTATGACAAATAAATGTTATTTACAAGGAATCAATATTTCATTCAAAATGCCAAAGACTCCCAAAGATAAAATGCACTGCTTTAGGGTAACTGGTCATGCTTTTTGCTCTCCTTGAATTTTAAAACACCCTTCCAATAATTGGGGAATTTCCCAAATTATGAAACCCACATTCCCAAAGCAAAAGCCAAAAACCCTTTTTCACAGCGTCCCTTGAAGTTAGTGCATACTTACCCCCAGGGTTCGGCCAATTGGAAACCAATATGAGACTGCACTTGGAGCCAACATGGTGCCAATGTGAAAGCCATCCTGGTGAAATAGCGAAGAGATATCCAGCTTGTGGAAGCGGTAGCACAGTTGCTCCAGCTCTGGTGTCCTGCAGAGCCTGTGTCCAATGGCAGAGACAGTAGGGTTGCCAAGTGAGCGATCCAGCCCTGAAATCACCTGCTCTTGCTTGCACAGCCTCCCAATCCTGGTTCTCTGGACCCTCCTGAAGATTCTGTGAGTTACCTGACATCCTCGATAAAGTTCTTTTCTGCTTAAACCCACTGAAATGGGCTCTGTTGTACCTTTTCACATTGACTATTGTCTTAGCAGCTAACTGGCATGAATTCTTTAGGAGGTTAGTATTTGCTTTATGTGGGAAGTTGAATTAGTTCTGATCTCTATCAAATTTAAGATTCTCTGAATAAGAGTGGTAAGGGGCTGACAAGTAGGAATCTGGGTAAGTAAATTTGATTAGTGTCCTATAAAAAATTTGTGATTACTTCTCCACCACAGGTGATTTAAAAATTTAAGCAAGAGTATACAGAAGACAGTTAGGCCAAGGTTTAACTAATATTCCACCATTAGTCATATAATAATTCCTTTAGGTAAAGCACAAACCAATCAGTCCATTTTTACAATGGAAATATTTTGGAATGAGTCTATGATGATTCTACTGCCTTTGATTTCGTGTATGAATTTCACAGTTATAAACTCAGGTGTGAAAAGACGCAAACTTTATTTCTCTATAAATCAAGCTGCTGTCTGATACAACCTCCGTTTAAGTTGATGGGAGAATTCTAATCTACTCATTTTGAGGTTAGTTTCTCCAGTTCAGTGAGCCCTCAGTCTATCCAGATCTATAGTTTAGTCATATTCCAACTTAAAACTCCTGTTGACTTTTTCTTTTCCCTCTCTCCTTCCTAGGATGTAGTCTAAGTTCTGCCTCTAACAGCAATAAGGGGGATCAGAATCCTCTCCTCAGCTCAGTTCCTATGATGGAACTTGTCGCTGGTATACTCATCCTGAGTGTTACACTTGGCTTGGGTGGTGTGTAATTTCTGTTTCCCAGTGTGGATCCCATCTGGTTGCCCGCTGCCAGGAGACTGCTAAGATATGGCTCCTTCCTCCTCTTCCTCCAAGTCAGCAGTTTACATCTCAGCCTTTGAATGCATGTTTTCCACCCCTGCCTTACACACTGTCTGTCTCTCTGCTTCTCCCATCTCCTCACAGAAGATTGGGAATTTCAGACTTCCTGAATACTACAGGAAAGCCTCCGGAAACTAGGGAGTAGGGTCATCCCTCTCCCAACCACGGATGCTCTAGATATCTGGGTCAATGGACTCAGGACTATTGACTGAGAAAGGTCTTGAGAGAAAAAATGATCAGGGCTTGCTGGTTAGTATCTAAAATAATTCATCCACCACATTTTATTGAGGATGGTCCTGGATTAAGCTATTTATGTTTGAAAAGTGAACATACCATTTTCTAGTTTTTAAAAAGCTGATTCTGCAAAAGCATTTTTGTATGTAATTAATGAGATAATTACCTCTTGACTCAATGAAGAAAATACAGCAAGCGCTGAATGGGATATATTTCTATACCATTTGAAACTAATTAAACTGCTTTTAACTTTATAAAATATTTTAATTAAAAAAGTAATACATATTAATTTCAGAAAATTTGGAAAACATAGAAAAGCTTAATATAGAAAAGCACAGAAGCCACCCACGATAATAATCACTTGTGACACTTTGAGATGTTATACTTTCAGTTATATTTTTTATATTTCTGTATCTATATAATATTGGGAGCATATGCAAATTGAGATCACGAGCAGATCAAAGTGAAAGTGAAAAAACAGATTTTTTTCACTTCATAAAGAATTTTGAGATTGTTTTCCCCCATATCATGAAATAACTCTAAAAGATGATTCTCAGTGTATCATTTCATTAAATGGCTATCCCAAAATTTATTTACTCATTCTCATGGACATTTAAATTGTATTCAGTTTTGGACTTCCCTGGTGGCGCAGTGGTTAAGAATCCGCCTGCCAATGCAGGTTCGAGCCCTGGTCCAGGAAGATCCCACATGCTGCAGAGCAACTAAGCCCGTGCGCCACAGTTACTGAAGCGCAGGCGCCTAGAGCCCGTGCTCTGCAACAAGGGAAGCCACCCCAATGAGAAGCCTGCACACCGCAACAAAGAGTAGCCCCCACTCGCCGCAACTAGAGAAAGCCCACACGCAGCAACGAAGACCCAACGCAGCCAAAAATAAATAAATTTATGTAAAAAAAAATAATACCAGTCTCTGCTTCCCAAACCAAAACATCCACTACTGTGGACAGTTTAAGTAATTATTGTAACAAGAATATCTGTCACTCCTTTGCTCTAATTCCTTTAATGGTTCCCCCAACACTTCCATAAAAATATTTTTTAATCCTTCGAATAGCATGCAAGATTGTTCATGATTTCTTCTTTACCTATTCATGCAGTCTCATCTGTAGCCATTCTCTCCCACGTAAACTAAGGTCCAAGTAAACTAAATGACTTCCAGTTTCCCAAGTCCATTAAATGATCTTTGGAATTTTATGACCCAGGCTGTCAGCCCCCCACACCTCTTTGGCTGAAAATTTTTACTCATCTTTTAAGTACCAAGTTAACTGTTACCTCCTGTGAGAATTTTTTCAATATTCCCTTTTACACATTAATGGCCATGCCTTCCCATTGCTCTACCGCTGATCTATCATTTATTTCCCCAAGGCTGTCCTCATAATATACCCTCAAACTCTCCCTCTCCAAATTGGAAGTCACATTAATGTAGCTTGGATATTAAAATTAAGTATATCTATTTAAAAACTTCAAAAATTAGATGGATTTGTAAGTGTATCAGCAGACAGGACCTTGTAGTGAAAACAGCATTGGGGACTTCCCTGGTGACGCAGTGGTTAAGAATTCTCCTGCCAATGCAGGGGACACGGGTTCGAACCCTGGTCCAGGAAGATCCCACATGCCGCGGAGAAACGAAGCCCGTGAGCCACAACTACTGAGCCCATGTGCCGCAACTACTGAGGCTGCGTGCCTAGAGCCCGTGCTCCGCAACAAGAGAAGCCACCCAATGAGAAGTCCCCGCACCACAACGAAGAGCAGTCCCGGCTCGCTGCAACTAGAGAAAGCCCGCACTCAGCAACGAAGACCAAACACAGACATAAATAAATAAATAAGTTTATAAAAAGAAAGAAAGAAAGAAAAGGGCATTGGACTAGAATTCAGAAGATTTAGGTACTTCTGTTCCTTCTTCACCTTTTCTGGCCTCAATTACCTCCCTCATAAAGGAATGTGGCTTGACTACAGCCCTAGTCTTTGGGTGGCAATTTACAGTTTATCTTCTTTTTTATTAGTCCAATCCAGCCCCCTTCATTTCCCAGATGAGGAAACTGAGTCTCCGAGATGATATATAATTTAAGCCAAGATACTATACAATTAATGACTAAGGTAAACGGAATCTTGGGATCTTGGACCGGTGCGGACCAATGCTGACCTCTAAAAACATTCCCGGTTCTAAAATTCTTTAACCCGCCCAGTTAACAAAAGCAGAGGAAATAAAGAAAAGCCAGAAGAGAATAGACTTAACGGAAACGAAAACCAGCGGGAAGCTCGAGCTTTCCACGAATTACAAGTGAACTTCCTGTCCTGGGTAAACTTCCGGAATCAACAACAGGGAGAGCCAATCAGAACCTTCCTCCGGGAGCCAATGGGCGAGCACATTACAAAGAGCCAATCGCAGCGACGCTGTCACTGTTATGGTCCTGTCAGGGCACCGGCGTTGTGGTTTCTGGGCGGCAGCCACCGAGAGGACTTTGGTGGGGGACCCTCAGGGGCAGCCCCCAGGCCAGCTGCGCTCGTCTCCGGCCTCGTTCCCAGCCTACATTATCTCGGCTCGCGGATCGCGCCGTCGGGCGCGCGTGCTGGTCGGCGCCGCGGCCGCCTTGGGGCCTGGGCCCAGCCACAGCCTCCTCCTCCGCCGCGGGCTCGGTGGGGCCGCGAGATGCAGCCGCCGGGCCCTCCCCCTGCGTATTCCCCCACTAACGGGGACTTCACCTTTGTCTCCTCAGCAGACGCGGAAGGTGAGACTGAGCCCCGGGAGGGTACGTCGACCTGGGGGACGCCGGGCGGACGCGGCAGTGTCTTTCTGGGGCCGAGGCGGTTGTGGCCTGGTGGGGACGGGCAAGAAGCTGACCCATGGGGGACTCGAGCCCTCTGCTCCCGCCGGGCCTTCCGAGAGGCCCGAGTGGCCGAGGGTGAGGTGTGGGGAACTTTCCAAGTGACTCGGTCAGTTTCTGGTTTTCGCTACACCGTCTGGTGGCAGGTTTTTCTGGCGAACTTACCCACCTCGAGGGCACCCACGGGACCCCAAGATTTTATTTCTAAAGTGACTTGGCATTGCTCAGAAAGGGATGGTTAGATTGGCCGGGCTAGGCGTCAAAGAATGAGAACGAGGAACGAGAGCTTGTTGCTTTGTTATTTATCAGCACATAACTTTTTGCTGAAATTAAATTAGGCGCTGCAAATACTAACTTCCCTCGAGGAGTTTGTGGGTTTTATGGAACCTGGTATCTTGCCAACGTTACAGTTTTCCTCCTATTTTATGGTGTTTGACCTCAATATTCAGAGAAGTAGACCCAGATATGTTTGGGAACACCCAGCTGGATTACAAGAAGTTTCAGTTGCTTTCCAGATTTCTTTATGTACTGTTTTGAGGAACCATTTGTGCTGGAGAGATTTTTCTACAGCACGGGAGAATTTGTTTTCCTCCTTTTCTCTGCACTTTACCAGACTCTTTGTAACTGAAATCTTTCTCTGCTACTTTTGTTAGACTTTGTATACCAGTATACCAGTAATTTTCCAGTGACCAGACTTAAGTGCTGGATATGGAAAAATAAGTTATACTTAACTATAGAAATTTCATTCTAGAGAAGGACCTAGTGTGTTTCCTGAGAAATCGAGTTTTGTAATGCATCAGTTAATATAGCTTGCTTTCCCTTTTTCTGTTTTGCTTTCCTCGTATTGGTTTTTGAATGGCGTTGTTTAAAAACAAAAATAGTACTGTAGTTTTGGTTATATTAAAATGCAAAATACAATTTTTATCATAGAGAACATAGCTGATACATTTAAATGTAATATGGAAATTTGGTGAAATATAGCAACCCAAAATATTTTAGTTTGTTTCATCTACATTTGGTAGCCTAGTGCTTGGGGAGGAATAACCAACTGTAGTTTTCCAGACTTTAAGAAAAAATTGTCTGTATACACAAAAAATTGAGTATCACAACCTGATGTTTGTTCAGACTTATATATCTGTGTTTATAGTTCTAATACCCCCACTTCCTCCAGGAATTACCTTTCTTAAATATGCCTAAGAAATCTGACAATAATATAACAAGCTAATCCATTGACTCCATATATTAAACCAAGAAACCTGGAATAAGTAAAATCCATAACATTTATTCAGACTTCTCCGTATAGCCTCCAAGATTGTATAGACTCCCTGTATATCCAGGGATATACAGACAAGGATAGATAGTTGTATAATAATACCCTCAAGATTATAACATTATACAGTTTAAATTTACAGTATTTTAAGCAAACAGCTTGTTTGATCTTTCTAAGAATCCTGCTGAGCTTTATTATTCCTGTGTGTTTTTTTTTAACATCTTTATTGGGGTATAATTGCTTTACAATGGTGTGTTAGTTTCTGCTTTATAGCAAAGTGAATCAGTTATACATATACATATGTTCCCGTATCTCTTCCCTCTTGCGTCTCCCTCCCTTCCACCCTCCCTATCCCACCCCTCCAGGCAGTCACAAAGCACGGAGCTGATATCCCTGTGCTATGTGGCTGCTTCCCACTAGCTATCTACCTTACGTTTGGTAGTGTATATATGTCCATGCCTCTCTCTTGCTTTGTCACAGCTCACCCTTCCCCCTCCCCATATCCTCAAGTCCGTTCTCCAGTAGGTCTGTGTCTTTATTCCTGTCTTACCCCTAGGTTGTTCATGACATTTTTTTTCTTAAATTCCATATATATGTGTTAGCATACGGTATTTGTCTTTCTCTTTCTGACTTACTTCACTCTGTATGACAGACTCTACGTCTAGTGAACCTGAGGCTTAGAGAAGTTCAGTAACCTCCACATGAAGGATCTGGAATTAAGAGCTAGCGTTCTGTTTCCTAAGATTTCTTTATACTAAACCATGATGCGTCTTACATATATTTTTGTAAACTGAAGTATAGAGTCCTGGATTTGCATCCTGTCTTTACCAATTACTATCTTTGTGATGTTGGGCAAGTTACTTAATCTCTCTTAACCTCAGTTTTCGTATACATAAAATGAGAATAATAATACCCAAGTGCTCAAACATTTTGCAAATGGAAAGCGCTTAGTACACCTAGAAGAGTTAAGTGCTCAGTATTTGTTAGCAGTGTTGCTACTGCTTTGGGTTTCATTATTAATTGGTGCCACGGTTATTTTTTTACTGTTCTCTAACATAAACATTTGACTCTGCAACACCAAGTTTCTTCTCTAGTTCCTAAGCGTGTCACGTAAATTCTTGCTTTTCCCCTCTTATGGTGTTTATCTAACCATGGATGTTTTTAGCTTGTAGAGGTTTTATTGTATACCTTGCTTCTAGATTCTGTCCAAGTCTCTTTCTCAGTGATACTTATCGTTACTAATTTGTACATGTCCTTTGTTTTAAAATGTGCCTTGGTGTTTGTCTCCATACCTATGTGTATCAAGGTCCTCATGCTTAGAATGCTTTTCTCCTTCTTACCCCAAGATGAAACTTTTTTTTTTTTTTTTTTTTGCGGTATGCGGGCCTCTCACTGTTGTGGCCCTCTCCCGTTGCGGAGCACAGGCTCTGGACGCGCAGGCTCAGCGGCCATGGCTCACGGGCCCAGCTGCTCCGCGGCATGTGGGATCCTCCCGGACCGGGGCATGAACCCGTGTCCCCTGCATTGGCAGGCGGACTCTCAACCACTGTGCCACCAGGGAAGCCCCCAAGATGAAACTTAAGGCTGAATTCAAATACTCCTTTTTTGCTGAAACTTTGCTTAACTGTTCCTCAGAAACAGAAATGTCCCTAATCTTTTCTATATCCCAGCACTTAGCACAGAACCCAGAATATTAACATCACAAAGTAATTGTTTGTTGAAGGAATAAATGATTTCTGCTTTCTTTTATCTCCTATGACATTGATACTTGGGACTATAAAACCTAGCACATTTTGGATGGTATAACTAAAAAGTTACTGGTTTAGAGCCAGAAGACTTCAGTTAAAGTTCTGACTCTTACAGAAGCTATGTGATATTGGCCAAATTACATAGCTTCTATAAACTCACATTTTCATCTATAAAATGAAAATCACACTTATAAGAATATTGTGAAAATTACTTAAGGTAATGTGTATAAAAGCAAGGTCCATAAGTACAAGTTAAAAGAACGTAGACTAAAAAAAAAAAAGAACGTAGACGATGTGAATAAGCTAGTAAATTAATAACTAAATGAATAATGAAATCCAGACTTTATATTCAGTTCTGTGGTGTAAAACTACATCCAAAAGCAGTAATGAAATGCATGTGTATAAATGCAAGAATGTACCACCGCAATGAGAAGCCCACGCACCACAACGAATAGTAGTCCCTACTTACCACAACTAGAGAAAGCCCGCACATAGAAATGAAGACCAAACGCAGCCAAAAAAAAAAAAAAAGTAATGATACCATTAAGTATAATATAGAAGTCTTTAAGACAGTACTTTGACTTTATTTTGTATCACACAAATAAGTAGTTCCTTGCCTGCTTTATTTCCACAGACCAGCAGCATTGGGCATTACTGGGCTCTAGTAATGCAGAATCTGCCTTAATCATAATTTACATTTTGACAAGATCATCCTTAAGTGATTCATAAGCACATTAAAGCTTGAGAGGCACTGATTTAGAATATTATGAAAGATCAACAAAAATAGGAGGAAATTTTTTATAGCTAGAAGATCAGGGACAGTTTAATATTGGTCATATTTTGCCAAAATTTGAAAGATAGGTAATGTTTTGTATATGTAGGATGGAGTATGTCCATATGCAAGGGGCTGTATATGAGGAAGTCCCTAACCAAGAAATGGCTTAATAAGAATGGAATTTTAAAAAATTCATCATACATAATAAATGCTATAAAAAGGAGGTTCAGGAACTTCCCCAGTGGCTCAGTGGTTAAGAATCCGCCTGCCAACGCAGGGGACATGGGTTTGAGCCCTGGTCCGGGAAGATCCCACAAGCTGTGGAGCAACTAAGCTCGTGTGCCACAGCTACTGAGCCTGCTCTCTAGAGCCCATGAGCCACAACTGCTGAGCCCACGTGCCACAACTACTGAAGCCCACGCACCTAGAGCCCGTGCTCCGCAACAAGAGAAGCCACTGCAATGAGAGGCCCGTGCACCACAGTGAAGAGTAGCCCCCGCTTGCCACAACTAGAGAAAGCCCGTGTACAGCAACGAAGACCCAGTGCAGCCAAAAATAAATAAATAAATTAATTAATTGAAAAAAAAGGTTCAAAGGTGGAAGTGGTTAACTGCAGGAAGGGATCAAGGAAGTCTTCAGAGACAGATGAGGTACATTTTGAAGGAAAAGGAGTTCTTCAGGTTGAAAAAAGGGAAGAGCATTCACTTATAAATTATGCAAATGCAATAATTGGTCGAAGCGGTCCCTGTATTTTATACTTCTCAATCTTCACAGACCTAAAACAATGCTGATTTAGACCATGAGCCCCTTGGGGTTAGAAGCTGTGTTTTACTGTCTACCAGTATCATACCCGCTGCCTAGCACAGAGCCTGGTATATAGCAGGAACTTAATAAATGTTCGATGACTACATGATACTTTTTGATTAAGATAAAGGTGTTGTGCTGCTAGAACTGAAGCCAACACTAATTCAACAGAAGTCCAACAAGTAGTTGGAAAGGGCGTGAACAGAGACAACTAACCAAGAAAGATGATCTAAGCCACCCAATAGCCATTTTCCCGTCCTCATATTTTTCTCCCTCTAAAGATCATTTTATGTATATCAAAACATTC